GCAGTTGTCGAAGGTCTAATTGCTTAGCTAGGCGATAGCTAATAAGGGCGCTAACTGAATTTCCTAGGTCTAGCGTAACCTTAGTCTTATAGTTAGTCCTATGCGTGTCCGATACGAGACAGCTAGCACAATGTCGATAGTCTTACGCCGTACAAGGCTAACAGTTAGTGCGGCGCTTACTCTTTTTTCGAAGGTTGGCCTATAGGGGTAGCGTTAGCTGCTAAGAGGTGCTTTCGGTGCTTAGCGGCAGCACGGTCGACTCGGGCCTAGTCTCGAGGTCTATCACATTGGCCTAGTAAATAAGTAGTGCTGTTATAGTTGAAGCACTTCAACCCGGTTAGGAGATTGTTGCTATGTCCACTCGGATTAGCGCTAGAATTAGAGGAACGATCAGGGATATATAGAAATAAGCCCCTTCCTTGCCCTCTTCCTCGCTAGGGATTTCTACCGCGGTATCGGCCCCTGCCTCTTCTATATTGGTAGTCGTTACTATTTCCATTGTTAGCAGTGTTCGTTTAGGGAGTACTTCCTCCTTAGTTTCCTCCGCGGCTACGGTTAGTAGATAGTCGTATCTTGGATTCCAACCGTTGCTATAGCTATACTGCACGCTCTACAGTTTCTACTTCGATTATGAATTGAATTCGCGTAAGATTAGCCTGTTCGAACACACGGCGGCGGTCCAATTCAAGGATAAGCTCCTACCTCAATTTAGGGCGTATTTCGGAGATCTATACAGAGTCGGTCTTAGCCGGGAGGTCGTCTTCGAGGGTCTTTAAATAGGCTTCAAATAAGCGAGCCGATTAATCAGTTTTTTATTTAGCTCGAAGGTACTAATCCTAAGCATATTGTTGCCTTAGTATAGGGTTTCTAAGGGTGTTTAGCATAACGGTCTTATAGTCTTGCTATTGAATAGCGGTCTAGTCGTAAAGGGAATCAAAATGGTTATCCTATGTACGCTTAGGGTCGCTATTAATGTACTGCATAGCGTATACGACTAAGGAATAGTCGTCTAGTAGCGCTCTTAGTGCGTTGCGCTAGTTAAGCTTATAGTCACGAATATAGTCGTTGTACTGCTTTCGGCTAGAGCTGTTAAATACGGTGTAGTCCTTGAGTTTAGCATCCTTCTTCTAAATCGGGACTGATAGTAAGGAAGGCCCTATTATCGGCTTAGTGTTAGTTGTTAGGGCTTCCTGCAGGCGGCGAATCTCGAGGAGATTATCCTTTAGCTGTTGTTCTTAACGTAGGGCAGTAAGCCTGTTTTAAGTGGCTTCTTAAAGTCTCGCTACTAGCTAGGGGCCAAAGGCTAGCTAGCTATATCGTCGATTAACAATATTGTTGAGTATATCGTTAACAGGCAACTCTAGGTCGTTACCTAGAACTATAGGTTCTTCGGCAGGCCTAGCAGCAGGTCCCTTAGCAGGTACTTTAGTAGGTGCTTTAGTAGGCAATTTAGTAGGTACTTCGGTAGGCACTGTGCTACTAGTGTTGTCATTGCTAGCGCTGCTAGCGGCGCCGCGGTTGTTGTTTCGTAATGACCCGGCTATTGTAATAAGGGGTAGCACTAATAATATATTGTAGCCCCTTGTAGTGCGGATATAGCGGAATTAGTAGGTATCGGTCTAGTGTGCTTAACTCAGTGTAATAGGCCGTATAGAAGGCCTTGCTTAATGATTAGTACGGTTGTTTTAGTGGAATAGTACGTATAGGTCCCGTTCTTCGGGCGCAATATAGTCAAATCGATAGTTTTCGTAGCTATACCGCTAAAAGCTTAAAATAAGGACTATCTAGCTACTGCCCTTAAAGGGTGGATCGAATACTATATAAGAAGGGTTATATTAGCAGGTAGATAGGGTAGTAGTAGGTACAAGTAGTATTCGATAGAGAACTAGGAGGAGAAGGAGGAAGGTAGGCCAGTTAGCCTAACGCTAAGCGCCAAGCCCTGCCTAAGGCATTGAGACCCTAGCTTCACTCGAGCTAGTTACATGCCAATTACGTATAGCCTCTAACATACTACTAGACTAACTAGCTAGTACTTCTAAAAACAAAAACTAATACTCTCTATATGCTTTAGTATACGATTTGTAGCTAGTATTAGCTAGTATTAGCTAGTATTAGCTAGTATTAGCTAGTATTAGCTAGTATTAGCTAGTGTTAGCTACCTCCCCGATTTATATGAAAATTCCACATCTAATAGAACCGAATTACGTGGTTCTAACGGTATACTTTTTATTAAAATCTGTTAAGAGAGTATCGAGATATCTACGTAAACGTATATATTTCTTTAGATTTTAAATATATCTAGGTTATCTCGTACTATAATACTATATACACCAATCCTAATCGATTCTATATATAGTATACCTCTATTAGGATACTTTTTTTATAAACAGAAAATCCTCTAAGTCTGCGAGTTGCGCGCGTTTTAAGGGCGCCCCCGAAGTTAGGGTTTCCTATACAAAAGTAGCCGGCTAGCGGACCTACTTTAGGAGCGGAACCGCCTTATACAGAAATCGCATCCTAGCATGTTCGGAGGATATATATATAAGAGTAGTATTTTAGATTCTTCGGAGAAATTATTTTACTATCTTATATATTTTAAGGAGTATACCTTTAAAAACCCCTTTCGCTAAGGGAAACTAGGCACATTTGCTACGGCCCTAAATCGAAATTTTACTAGAATCTATATAATATAGATTATAATTTAGATACTACTCGGGTTCGAGCATAAAAACAATATTCGAGGTGCAAAGTATAACGACCCAAAAGCGATTTTAATCGGGAGGGTAGGTAGTCCTATAAGACCTGTCCTAAAGGAGTTAGGTTTCGAGGAGGATAATTACTTTGTATACTAATCTATTATATATAGTTTTGTATTTTGTACTTAGATAGCGTTTAGGATAGATTGCAACTATTATATAGAAATTCTACTATCGAGTTTCTATCTAAGTAACCTAAGAAGTTGCTAAACTATTATACTAACCCGCGCGGTACTAATTCTATAATCTTTACCGAAATCCGCTAACTATTCGCCGAGATATAGTAGAGAGTAGACATCTTAGCCTATCTCTGAAATTTTTAGTAAGAGTGCCGAGAATCTAGTGTCCTAAAGGTATGTATTTTCAGTGTTTCCTATCTATTTCATCTTCTAGCTAGTTGGTCTAGTAGTATAATTCTTAGCTATAAAAGACATAGTTGCTAGGTATGCTATTAGAGTCCCCGCTCCTCGAGCTATACTGCCCTAGGTCGTTAAGAACTCTAAGGCGCTATAATCGATAGGGTCTAAGAGGTCGTAGCTTCAATTCCTATACTAGTTATTTCTTTTTGTCTAGTTTTGATATTTTTTGATCATCTACTAACAGTTCTGTAGGTTTTCTTTTGGTTCCTAAGTGTTTTCTAAATGTAGGTATCCTTTCTATTTAACAAGATATCTCTGACCTTGCTAGTCTAGGATTTTCTCGACTTTAAACTCATTTTCTTCCTTAGGTTAAAAGTGAAATGTTTCTTAGCACGGTGTTTCGGCGTCTACAGGTTCTAGTATAGAGATATAGAACACTAGGTGAATTTTTGCGTCGTCCGGTAGTTTAAGTCGGTAATTAACTAGTCCTTTAGGCTTATCAATCAAAAATGGCCCGACTTTGACGTAGTCTAGTTTCTTAGTCGATCTCCGGGTTTTTAGATTCTTTGTTAGAAGGTAGACCTTATCCCCCTTTTTTAGCTAAGGTGCTATTTTTCGTTTAGCATTATACGGTCCTGTAATCTTTTCTTAAGACTCGGCAATTGCCCTTTGCAATTGTTTATATACCTACTTTAAGTCTTCTAAAGCGACTATCGCTTTATCCGCATATAGATGCTATAAATACTATTCCCCGAACAGCTGCGGATGCTTCCTAAAATTAGCGAAGAATGGTGTTTCTTTCGTAGTCTCAGATTGTTAATTGTTTAGTGCAAGTTGCGCTATAGGCAATAGCGATGCCTAATTGTTCTGTCTTTATAGTAATACAAGTTTCGCAAGACTTGTTTACCGTCGAAAGCTCCGGGACTCCTAGTAATACTTTATATACGTTTCGTTGTTTTTCGTCTCCTAGATATCCTAGGCGTCGGTACTAAAGTAGGGTAGTATTAGTAGCCGTAGTAGTAGCTACTCTCGAAGTCCCGATAGATCCGGATTCCTTTAGAATATAGGATCTTCCGACTCGTATACTTTTAGCTAGTTCCTTATTTCCCCTTCGAAGTATAGCTTCTTCTTTAGTAAACAAGGTCGTAATATCTCGTTCCGAGAGTTAGCTTATCAATAGTAGGTTATAACCAATTTCGGGTACGTATATAACGTCCGGAATCGACGAATCGTAGTCGGAATTCCTTTAAATCAGACGAGGATTGTACCGGATCCCGCGATTTTTATCGTTTTACCGTTCGCTAGAGTGAAGTTTCCGGTTTCTTCCTTATAGTCCGTAAAGTAGTTCTTATCGTTAGATATATGTCTAGTATATCCGGAGTCTAGGATCTAATCCCCTTTATTAGATAGTCGAGCCGTAGAATCGATAGCCGTCTAAGCCGCGATCTTAGATTCCTCCCTATTATTCTCTTAGATTTTCCCGTTCCTTAGGTCCTATTTGTACTTCCTATAGTCCCGTTTAAAGTGCCCGACCTTTTAGCAATAGTAATACGTCTTTCCTTTAGCTTTATTAGGCGTATTGCTAGCCGTATTGCCCTTCTTTCCGTTACCGGCCTTATTTTTCGCCGAATCCTTAGTATATCGGGCTACTACTTTATCGTTTTTAGAAGTAGTAATCGTATATTCAACGTCCCGTAGTCGTTAAACTAGTTCCTCGTAGGAAAGAGTAGTTAGACTAGCCGCCTTTAAAGCAAATATAGTAGACGAATACTCTTCTCCTAAGGACGATATAAGGATTATCAATTCGGATGCGGATAACTAGCAACTTGTACTTGTTTTGGATGAAGCGAAGAAGCTTGATTAGCTCTCTATATGCCTCTTTCTGTTACGTGAGACGGAGAGACCAAGTGAAGCGTTTAGCATCATCTGTCACAAACAAGAAGTATCTGGTCTTGTCCCATCCAATTACTGGAGAGGGAGCCCACATGTCTGCGTAGATGAGTCCGCCAAGATTCTCGTAACGACGACTGGCTAGGTCGCGTGGGATTTTGACAATGGATCGGGTAGTTTTGCACACAGGACACGAGCAGGATCCTTGCATGCGCTTGATCTGTTCCGCTGTGATGTCCATGCCTGTACTGTGTTTTAGGAGCCTAAGCATGCGATATAGGCTGAGATGGCAGCAACTGGTGGTTCTTGCTTCACATCTGGTAGCTGTGCCTGTGCAATGCTTGTCGACATGGTAGAGTCCTTTCTTGAGAACTGCCTTGCCAAAGCGGAAACGTATAGGCGTAAGAAACGTTACTTCGCCAGCTCCCTATGCCCTATGAAAAGCTGCTTTGTCTAGTTGTAACTATAACAGTCAGTAGGTTGCAAGTAGAGTTTGGTGCAAAAGCAACTCCTCCAAGCTCTAGCTTGAATGGTTCGCCATCGCTGTCAATAAGGACTGATATGATTGCATACTGGAATACTTGCACCTCCATCGAAGAGCCATGTATCACGGATAACAGTGTCACTGTGTGCTATCAGGACCAAGGGTGATACAGAAGAGACGCAGAAGTTATGAATGGTTTCGTTCCAGCTAGTTCTACTTATGCATACAAGTATTGGCCCCCGACCATCTTCTACCTCACTGTTACGCTTAAGGCGATGTGTCTTCGTTACGATTCCGCGGCTTCGTTAGTCGCGAGCAAAGCCTTGTACGCATTGTACTGGGCCTTCATCCGCTTAAGCTCTTTCTTGTTTGGCTTTGCAGCTTTTGGAGGGGGATGGCTGGAGCGCACAGTAGCTGCGTCGTCACTCTCAGATTGATCGTCGAGATCGCTGCCGTGATCGGTCGGGCGGGAATGGGAGTGAGGAGTGTTCTGAGGGCGGTGGTTGCGCGTCGGCGCTGGGTGATGCAGTGCAGGTGAAGTTTGTCGTCGACGTAGAGGCGCAGGCCCGGGCAGGCATAGAGCTAGTGGTGGTGGTGGTGGTGGTGGTGGTGGTGCCGGTGCCGCGTATGGTGGATAAGGATTGGCTGGATATACGCGAGCGGGAGCGGGTGCGGAGGCGGAGGCGGAGGCGGAGACTGAAGCAGCAGAGTTTGGCGGAGTTGTTGTAGGCTGCGGTAGGGGCACGGTGACATCAGGACCCCCGCTGCCCTTGAGCACAGCGGAGAAGTCGATACATAGCCGGTTGGGCCATGAGTAGTCCACCGGAGGAGTGCCTCCATGCGCAAAGTCCTTGTTGCTGCTTTGCTACGCGCGCCAACACATTAGCAACTTATTTACCTCACTTTCCCTAGTCCCTCGTGCACTCACCGTGTATCTGGTCTGCCACTCGATATAGACCACCATTCCCTCGTGCCGCACCGCCACCTGCTGCTCTGCCATCTGCACATCCACCGTCGGGCCCTCGACCAAGCCGCCGGGCTTCTGAATCTCATGCTGGAAGCGATCCGAATGCATAATGCTGAAGTCTGCGTGCTGAACTGGTTGGCGCAGCACCTTGCGGCAGTATGTGTGCGTCGCTCCGTCGACGACTTCGCGCTCGATACACTTGGCTACTAGCCCGGCCTCGTCTTCTTCCATATTCTACTGTACTGCTGCCAGAGGAAGAGCGTAGACTGAGGAGGCGCAAGAAAATGGGACACAGGACGCGTTTGGAGCTCATATCTACACGTCATCTCTTGCTGCATAGCATACCTGCGCAGAGCCTCTCCTACACTGCAGTGCTGCAAGCCTGCGAGCGAGCCCAGAGCTTTGGAGCCCTCAGCCCGTGCTGCATAGCCGGAGGAGAGGTGGGAGCGTACAGTAACGAACGGCGGAGGAATGGATTCGCCGAGATGACTCGGCTGTGATCGTATACTGTAGTTCCGTGGTGAGTTTATGCCGAAGCAACATCTTCTCGAATACAGGATACCTTTCGCTGACCGCTTCCCAGAGCCGTCTACGAACATGACCTGACCATGCTCGCAGGCTGCCTATAAGGCTAAGCCCTGGATATGCGGGGGCCCCGCAATCCTAGAGCCTCAGGAATCAGATGCAAGTCGCGTAACGCCAAGCTTCGGCCCGCAAAATCGCCGACCTGACTACCGGCGGTGGTCAGGAACTCTAAATTTACAGGGGGTTAGCCGAGGCTTAATCTAATTGAAATGCGAAACCATTAGGTAAGCTTATTATAGTTCTAATACAATTTGAATAGAATTTTTATAAGAAATTAATAGTTTTTTATTTTCTTTATTTCTATAATATTACTATAAAATAAAGATTTTTTAAAAGGAATAGAAATAGGATTCGAAAAGAATTTAGAAAGGATTCGGAAAGGATTTAGAAAGGATTCGGAAAGGATTCGGAAAGGATTCGGAAAGGATTAAGAAAGAATTCGGAAAGGATTCGGATAGGAATTAAATAGAATTTAAATAGAGTTAATATAGTATTTTTAAAAAACGATTTAGAAAATAATTAAATAGGAATTAGATAGAAATCGGATAGTAATTAGATAGGAATCGGATAGGAATCGGATAGGAATCGGATAGGAATCAGATAGAAATTATTAATTAAATAGAATCTAAATAGAATTTAAGAAATAGTTTAGCTAGCTACTAAATTAGCTATATTTAAAATTTATATTAGCTAATTACTAAAATTCTCTCTAATTAGACTTAGAGACTATTAACTACTATTTAAATAATAAAAATTAAAAAATAATTGCAGTAGCTAGTATAGATAGAATATATTAGGAATATAAATAGAATACGCGTAGAATAGAAAGTAAATAGAATAGAATTTTAAAAATTTAAAGGAGTTTTAAAAATATATTTAGATAGGAATTAAATAGAATTCGAATAGGACTTAATTAGGTATAAATCGAATCTATATAGATAGGATTCGAATCGGATTTAAAAAGGATTTAATTTAATAGGACTCGAAAAGAATTCGACTAGGATTGAAATAGAATTTAGAAAGGATTTAGAAAGGATTAAGAAAGGATTTAGAAAGGATTTAGAAAGGATTTAGAAAGGATTTAGAAAGGATTTAGAAAGGATTTAGAAAGGATTTAGAAAGAATTTAAAAAGAATTTTAATTAAATACTAGTCGAATCTATAAAAATAGAATTTAAATTAGATTTAAATAAGATTTATTTTAATAGGACTCGAAAACAATTCGACTAGGATTTAGAAAGGATTCAGAAAGGATTTAGAAAGGATTTAGAAAGGATTTAGAAAGAATTTAGAAAGAATTTTAGAAAAACTTAGCTAAGTACTAAATAAAATATCTAGGTAGCTTCCCTATACAGAAGATATTATTACACCAAAGTAGTACGACTTAGTTTAATTAAAGGAAAAATCTACTTTAATAATAGTACTAATTCTAGTAGCGAGTTTAGTTAGAATACAAGTAGGATATAGATAGTACTAGAATATAGTTCTATAAAAAATTAACACATATTACCAACAATATAGCCCTATATACTAGATATATACTTATATAAAAATGCTACTAGATATTATTATATCTAGAATTAGATCTACTACTTAGTTCTACTTAGAACTACTCTAGTAGTATCTAGTTAGAAGTAAAGCTAAAACTATATTTACCTTCTAGATTTATTTAGTTTCTATATAATTTCTAATTAAATTATACTAGAATTCCCTAAGAGTTTTATAAAAGTAAGTTATTTACTTAGTTATAACTTATAAAACGACTAACTTATAACTTATAAAATTATAGCGCTGCTAACGCTAGCAGAAGCTAACATAGTAGGGAAAAGGAACAAGGGCTACTTTCGGAAAGTCGAGCTTGCCCAAGCCGAGGCGACGCGCGGACCTCCGCACGGACCTCAACGGCGCTATCCGACCAGTCAGATCGGTAGTCAGGTCGGCGATTTCGGTGGTCAGGATTGCTGTATCCCCCATTGATCCCGCGCACTCACAAGTCAACTCGATTCAATCGCGGAAAGGCCGTGAACCAGACCATATCGACAGCAGCTACCCCATACCTGCCTGCCTGCTGTATCAGCACGCCTACAACGCTTGCCCAACCGAACGAGCTCAACAACCGAATGATTCTACGCCGCCATGAAGCCGACCCAAATGCGCACAAGCCGTACCCCCTCCTCCCTCGAATCAAGCAGCATGAAAGCCGAGCGTACAACCTCGCCGACTCACGGCGTAGCAGCAGGCACTGGAACCGAGCATGACACATCGAAGCCGGACCGCGCTGCACAGATGATCGACGCGCTCCACCTCCTGGAGCCCTTGGGTCTTGCGGTCGATCTTACAGTGGACAAACATCCTGCTGGGGTCTTTAGCCGTCAGGTGGAGGAGCAGTTTCGGGAGAGCTTGAGGCTGGTAAGCAAGTGCTTACGGAAGATGATGCACGAGAAGGACGAAGCTGCTCAGAGGAGTTGGGAGCACAGCCTAGGAAAGGAAGAAGATATCGAAGATGCAAAACCAGAATCATTTGGGAAGGGATACGTTGAGCGCTGAAAGAAGAGGTAGAGGAGAGGTGCCGAAGGAACATGAGGACTATCAAACCGCGCCTGTGCCTCGTGTTTGGACGTTTGGGACTCTGCAAATCTACGACATTCAAGCATCGCGATACGGGTAGTACAACTTTTGTTGAAAGCATGTAGCATCAGAGCAGCAGCCGCAGGTAACATCCGTTTGCTTGCTTGCTTGTCTTTGGACTGATTGTCTTCCTTCCCCAACATCTCAATGAGTCAAGAGCACGATTGGACGTTACGGAAGGCCCCTGGAATGTCTGTTGAAAGTGAGAGCAGTTGTTTGGGTGCTGGGAGCATGTGTTGCGAGTAGGAGCAGACAGATGGAGGAAGGCACCGGAAATGGCTGTCGAGAGCAAAGACAGACATTTGAGTGCAGGGAAGGCAGGACAATGTGCTTGTTAATGCAGGTGGGAGGTGCTAGGAGCATGTGTTGCGAAGAGGAACAGATAGAGGAAGGCACCGGAAATGTCTGTCGAGAGCAAAGACAGACGTTTGAGTGGAGGGAAGGTAGGATAATGTGCTTGCTGATGCGGGTAGGAGGTGCTAGGAGCATGTGTTGCGAGGAGGAACAGATACAGGAAGGCACCGAAAATGACTTTCGAGAGCAAAGACAGACATTTGAGTGGAGAGAAGGTAGGATGATGTGCTTGTTGATGCAGGTGGGAGGTGGCAGAAAGCTCGGGTGAGCGCGTTCTTCAAGGCTGCAGTAGCCGTGAGTGCTTGCCCTCCCGCCTGCTTCGCCTCCATCGACAGCGTCAAGTCCAAGATCCAAAACAGGGAGAGCATCTTCGCCAGCAAGCAACTCGACGACGACCGCACGCACCCTCTCAGACTACAACATCCAGAAAGAGTCCACCCTCGCCCTCCGCCTCGTCCTCCGCCTCCGGAGTCGTATACAGATCTTCGTCAAGATGAGAGGCCGTGTCGTCACAGAAGCAGAGCAGGTTGCTATGGAAGTTCGAGAGTGGCTGGGCCGGCAAAACGAGGCCGTTCGTTTTGATATTTGCTGGGAAGAGCTCAAGAAGCGCGCCAAGCTTGCCTCCTCTGCTGCACTCTGGAGCCATTGTTGCTGGGAGTACATGCTGGCTCAAGATCCAGCACATGCCCTCGCCCTTCGCCAAGCCGCCGACAATCAACTAGCGCTTGACGCTACTATTGCAAGTGGCTCAAGATACAGCCGCAATCTCGCTGGCCTTCGGGCACGAATCGAGGCCCTTTGGCCAAATTGGAACTGGACTGTGCCGCAAGCAAGCGGTAGAAATACCGCGGAGCGGGTGGGCCGAAGCCCGCGCATTTATTCGGAGCGGCTGTTGAAGAGCCTAAAGAAATTGGCCGAGCGCACTGGAGATGCTGGTTGTGCCAACGCCATCCGTTTGTTGGGAGAGCAAGTTGGAATCCGTCTCCGAACGACTCGGTCGCATGAGCATGAGCTGGTACTGTGGCAAACATTCTTTTGAGTGCTGAGACATGTATGCTGACCTATCTTTGCTAGACACCGCGAGATGTTGAAGCGGTGCTGAGCACCATAGCCGCTGCACCTCCTGCGCCTCTCGCTGTCGAGAAGTCGCCTGCCGCCGCCGCTACCGCCTCTTCCTCCCCTTTTGTCCCCGATGCAGATTCTCAGCCAGCAGAGCGAGAAATCGAGCAAGGTCGCCGCCCTGTCTCCCCCTTGCGGGATGAATCCTCGGAGCCTGAGCCAGAGTCTGAGCCATCGCCATCGCCATCGCCATCGCCATCGCCAGAGTCAGAGCCAGAGCCAGACCACCCCCCACGAAAGAAGCCGAGAAGGCAGAAGACCTTCCTCGAGCAAGTCGAAATGGTAAGAGCAAAAGCTCTCAAAGCCGACCAAAAAGTCCTCGAAGAGGCACAAGCCTCGGGCGACCAAGGTCGCATCGATGCCGCAGAGGCTGCTCTTGCAGCTACTGCTCGTTTTGCTCCGCCGGCGCATTGGGCTAGCCACAAGTAGATTCAAGTACATAGCAAATATCATGCAGACTGTTGTCGCAGCGAACAATTGTTTCTTCCACAGTCCAGATCCAGCTAGAGAGAGGAGACTCTCGGATGCGTTGTGCATGCAGCTGTACGCGCCCGGCGGTAGCGCCCGCGAATTTTGAAGTTCCTCGCTCTCGTTCTCGTTCTCGTTCCCCCAACCCTTTTCGGCGATCCTAGGACTTTTTTTCGGGCACTTTTTACTATTGCAATTGGTATGAAAATTGCATTAGCTAGGTTCCCGGTTATCGTATAGGTCTACGTTATATTCTACTACTAGTTATTACGAAGCTTAGTATAGCCGGTTCTATAACCTACCTACTTTATTAGCTCTATAAATATAGATTATTAGATAGGCTATAACTATAGCGCTTTACGAGTATATTTAGAAGGGCTAGAAGAGGCTATATTAAATTAGCTCCTAGCTAGTAACTACTACCGCTATTCGAGGGTCTATAACGTAAAGGAAACTAATTCTAGGTTTATAGCGGTTACCGGGAAGCTACTAGTAGTATCTACCGACCGTCTTTCTATTACTAGCCTATCCTATAAGAGAAGACTAGAAGTTAGAAACTAAGGTTAGTAGCTTTGCTATTAAAGGTATATAGCCTATACTACGTTAAGCTTTTAACTAAATTACTATTAGGGATATATAGCCTATATACTACGTTAAGCTCCTAGCTATATAGCGATACTTAACTAAAGTTGTTAGAATTCGAGCCCTAAAATTTCTTTTAATATTCTTCTTTATAGTATAGGTTATAGAAGTAGATAGATAGTATAGTGTTACGGATCTGATTGGTTAGAGTCCTTACATAATCTTAGAGCGACGCTAAGACTAGTAGGCTGAGCTGTCGCTCTATCTTACTAGGAGCGATAGGAGCGGTCGAGAGCGACAGCGTCGCTTACGTCGCTTACGACTACAGACAAGATGTCTCCTTTGTATTTAGGAACGCCGGAATGCCCTTATAGCTCGAGGCGTTCAACTTATGTTACCTACTCACTAATTAGAATTACCTTTGTACCAATTATTCTGTCTCTACCTCCCGCTTGTATTAGCCTCTCTAAAGAAGCCTCGGCTTACACGTAATAAGAAGTTACCTAACGATCTATCGCGAGTAACCGTAACACTTTAAACGCCCTTAGGATAAGTGCCTTATTACAAGTCGGAAGGGGAACTCCCGCCCTTAGCGAGATAGGCAGTACTCGACGTACTACCTCTAGTGCTAGCAATGCACTTAGAACCTATACCGGAAACGATTCTCTCAAGATCGGAAAGCTAGACTTTTATTACGGCGACCGAGACAAATTCGATACCTAGGTTAGCTAGATAGATATATATTTCATGTTTAACTAGGTTTAAGATAACTTAAAGCCAGTCTTCGCAACGACGTTTATACGAGGCAGGGCTTAGTATTAGGTTAAACTATTTCTTAGGACCTATCTAGATAGCAACGGGACCGACAATTCGGATAGAATCTTCGTAAGCTACGAAAATCTTAAGCGTGCGATGAAGAAGGTCTTTAGATCTTCTAACGAAGTTGCTACCGCAGTTAGGGTTATCTAACATTTAACTTAGAAGGGGTTATATGCCGATTACGCCGCTAAATTTTAGGAATACGCCTAACTTACGGATTAGGACGATGAAGCTCTTATAACAATGTATCGGCGAGGTCTTAAGGATAACGTTAAAGACGAGCTTATACGCGACGGCAGAAAAATAGATGATATAGGAACATTAGTTAAGGTTACGATCGATCTCGACGATAGGCTCTACGAACGAGCTTTAGAACGACGTTACGATTCTAAGACTTCTAGAAAAGCTAGTTATACTCCTAGATACGATAATAGACGAAACTACAGTACCTACGATAAACCAAAAGGGAACAACTACTACGGTACGCAACTAATAGAGCTAGACGCTACCTAGAAGGGTCGAGCAATTAAAGGAAGAAAAGGCAAGAGTTCGCCTAAGAAAGCAGGAAGATTGACTTGCTATACGTATAGCAAGGAAGGTTATATAGCACGGAACTACCGCGGTAAGAATATAGTGCGACGCGAACAGTTCAATATAATATAACGAAAGGACTCGGGTAGAGAAGGCTACCGAATAGTAGTAGAGCTATACTCTATTAATAACGCGCTAAGGACCTACGTAGAGGTCGTAAAGGAAGAGCTACGACAAATCTGTATAATAGCACGACGATAAGAACCCGTATATAGAGCCCTTTACTAGAGATTCTATTACGACGACTAATACTAAATTCATTATTCTGCTAAAGTAGAAGTAGGATTCTTCCCTTAGATTAGGCGACTCGTACGAGAAGATACGAAATCCTAGTTAGAAGAAGAAACGATTAATGAATCTTACTTAGATGCCGACGATAAAGAAAACCGAGATCCGGAAGCTTTATTCCCTCCTAGAGAGGAGTTAGGAGCTATCCTAGAAGTACCGGAGTCCCCTTAGCAAGAGGAGGAACAGTAAGAAGATTTAGAAGGAAGTCTAGATACCGAGGAAGAAACTACGAATAAAGAAAGTGAAGACGAATTCGGGATTAACGACGATACGATCCTTACGTTTACAATAGATATACCTATAGCAGCGCGAATAATCGCCTTATATCTAGTACGCAAATACGAGGAAATGTTTCTAAAGGTTAACGGATAACGGAAGGTCGATCCTATCCAATTTGATTATTTCTAGATAAGCTTACAGGCAAAATTCTAGAATCACCCCCGGATACCTATAGACTACGCGTACTATAACTTTATTACGGAGCGAGTACCGATAGGGAGTATAATTACGCCCTACGGATACGTCCTACCCGACGAAAGGACGATTATTACTTAAGATATGCGTTAGACGGTCTAGCGATTAAATCAGCAATACCGAAAGGCTATAGCAGCGTAGGGACGGGATATATATAACGATACCCTCGAGGAAAAATTATATACCGAAGAAGTACGAACGGTAGGACTACGGATCCGTAACTAGTTAGAACAACGTTAGGCTACTAATTAGTCGGGAAACGGACTAACTCTCTAGATTAGAGCGTTCTAAGAGAGTTCCTTAATACCGAAAGCGCTCAAGCATTAATAGCAGTCTTCCGCACGAAAGTTATCGTTAACGGGCACCCGACGAGTACATTAATAGATTCCGGAGCGAGCGGGAACTTTGCCTCCGAATTATTCGTTAAAAGCCGAGGGATCGCAACCCGAAGCAGAAG